ATCACAAAACCAATATGTACCATATGTTTATATCATTACACAATTTTAACTTAACATTCCCAAAATCCTGACATGAGAGGTACTTTTCAAACATTTACAAAACTCATTAGTTCATATTTATCATAAACATTCCATTAGATACCAAGTATACTTACACAATAAAAACATATTGTCCAATAAAGGTTTGCCCAAAGTCTTCTAGCTTTCCACTACCTTAGCCCAATTTAAACATTTTAGCAAGCGACAAGCTATTCTAAAAAAAATTATTAGCAACGGAGTGAGCACATAGAGCTCAGCAAGCGACTAACATATACATGACGAAAGAGGACAGTTTCAAACAAATAAGGTACCAAAATACAAGGCAAAGATACAAGATTCAAAGATAGCCACTCGGCGTATGCATAATTACAATGACGTATTGTTTGAAACATGTTTTGTTCATAACAATGGAGTAAGGGCTAATTGGAGCATAACAATGGTAGATGAAATATTTCGGAACATATCAATGACAGATGAAATGCTTCGGAACATATCATTGACATATGAAGCATTTCGGAGTATATCAATAGCATAGGAAGCATTTCGGAGCATATCAATAACAAATGAAACATTTCGGAGCATATAGCATTTTGGAACATATCAAAGAACAAATACGAAACAGAAGCTCAAACGTCGCATTTGACATTGCATACATTTCATTCTTATCCAAAGCACATAATCGAAGCTCTGGATATTATATCAAACAGATAGAAGGTGAAGTGAGATCCTAAACATAATCTCCCACATCTGGGAGCGTTATCCATCTACGTCTGGATAAAGCCAAAGGGGGCCGGTAGAGCATCGCGGGCTCTAAACATATACCCTTTACCATTTCTGGCAAAGGTCCAGATAATCCCTTTACCATTTATGGCAAAGATCCAAATAATCCCACAAACACCAGAGTACAAAAGGGGTATTGTGAACAATAAAGTTGACACATATCGGAAACACATGTGAAACAACGGAATGCATGTGCCTATACGAAACATTGCGATACAAACTTGAACTTTACATGATAGATACAGGTATACAAATAATTGAAGGACAAGAGTATACATGAATTTAAAGCAATAATGTAAAGCTCAACTGAAGTAAGGATGTTGGCTGAAATCGATTTCCAAAGAGAAGAAACAAGAAGAGGCGAAATCGATGAAAGCTCGATTCTGGCAGAATTTGAGAGGCATATTTTATGAATTATTTGGATAATCAATTATGCTCCAATTTATACAAAATAGGTGTCATTCGAAAGATGTGTCAATCTAAAATATCTAGTTTTAGGTAAATCAAGTTTTGCATGAATTGGAGTTTACAATAGGGAGTTACAAATAATTTCGTAGCGAAAGGTCTGAAAACATCAACTCTGTTTTACTGAATCCACAGGGTCGATGAAACCGGATGTTTCAGTTTGTAATTGTACTCTAAAAATTTCAAATCAGGTAAGCACAGAAAGAATTTTGAGTCTAGTTTCTAATAAATCATACTTTGCATGAATCTGAGTTCCCAGCAGAAAGTTATAAGCAATTAAGCAACAAGAGGTCAGAAATTACAATCCTTGTTTTGCAGAATCTATAGGGTTAATTGAAACAGAAGTCTTAGTAGGCATTTAAACTCCAAATCATTCAATCTAGGTATCAAAATAAAGATCTTTGAGTCTACTTTCAAATGGATTAGGTTTTGCCTAAATCAGAGTTTAGTGCTAAAATTTAGGTCTGAAACAATGCATAGAGGTCAGATTACCGAAAAATTACAGATTCATGGCTTTGTATCAAAACGAAAGAAAGGTATGGTGCTAAGCTGAAATCTTTCGAATTATGTAGAATTAAAATGAAAACATAGATTAGGATTACTGTGGGATGGGGTTAGAACACTTGCCTTAGACAAGTTTGATTCCCAAATGTGGAGAAATTGATGCAAAACCTCAAGCAAAGCTTCTTCTTCTTCTTCTTCTTCTTCTTCAAATCCTCTTCCCCACGTTGGCTACAGGAAGTATCCCTCCTTTGTTAAGTTTTCCTTTAATCTCTCATATAATTACTTAGGTTTGGCTAATACAAGGGTTGCATAGTGGCAAGCATGCATGAAACAGACTTATGGGTCATCCATAGAACCAACATGGGTGGCACCATACTTAGGTTAGTTAGTGACACATGTCATTTATTTTTTTTTTTAAACTTCTAATATAAAATTATTTAATATAAAATAATTATTAGCTAATCGTCATATTTACAAACAAGCATTTACAAAATTTTAAAAAAATTGGGGATGTTATAGGGACTCGATTCGATACTCGTGGTGGTCGATCGGTTTTTAAAGTATGTAACATTCATTGATGCACCCTTACACTGTTCAGTAGAGGAGGCAGCCAAGTCGATGATGAAGAATGTGATGAAGTATTAGGGAGTCCTGCACAATATCACTCGATTCGATACTCGTGGTGGTCGATCGGTTTTCAAAGTATGTAACATTCATTGCTGCACCCCTACACTGTTCAGCAGAAGAGGCGGCCAAGTCGATGATGAAGAATGTGGTGAAGTATTGGGGAGTTCTGCACAATATCATCAATAATCCAGATGCACGGTTCTTGGGACGATTTTGGACCGAGTTATTTAAATTGTTGGGGTTTAAGTTATACTTCTCCATAAGCCTTCACCCCCAGATGGATTGCCAAACTGAAAGAATAAATTCACTTCTTGAGTAATATCTTTGGCACTACGTGAGTTCCAACCAACAGGATTGGGTGAAGCTATTGGACATAGCCCAATTCTCCTACAACTTACAGTGAAGCGCTACATCCAATAAGAGCCTCTTTGAGATCATTATGGGATAGCAGTCGTCGACTCCTCACACCTTGGTGATCGGTTATACTAGGAGTAATCCATTAGCATATCACTTTACAAAAGAATGACATCGAAATACAGATATTGCATGGGTTTACTTGGAGAAGACCAAAAAGATGAAGTGAGCAGACTTAGGAAGGCGACCACAGGAGTTTAAAGTAGGTGACTTGGTGTTGGTGAAGCTCTAACCAACATCACTCCAGTTCTTTAGGCATAAAGTGCACAAGGGATTGGTGCGCAAGTACGAAGGACCCTTTCTAATTATCAGCAGGGTAGGCAACGTTTCCTACAAGTTGCAGCTGCTGGCGTAGCTTAAAATTCACAATGTCTTTCACGCAAGCAACTTGAAAGCCTACTACTTCGATTTGCGAGAGCCGAGATGCTTCTTGAAGTGTTCCAACTCAACTACCCCCCACCAGTGCCTTCTATGAGAAGTGAGTCGAAACTATTTTAGCGGATCGCAAGACAATGCTACCTAACGAAGCGAAGCAAACTGAATACCTGGTGAAGTGGCAAAAGCTTCTCTGAACATAAGCTAATTAGGAGCCTGAAGACGCCCTACGACACAAAGTAGTCATCAAAACCTACCAACAAGCATCGATGAGGGCATCGATAGTTTAAGTGGGGGAGAATGTCACGAACGGTCATTGCTCACCTGCAACATCTCCGTCGACGAACCGTCCGTCACTTTTGCGTGCTTGTACAGATGCTTGGCAGCTTCTTTTGCCTTAATTTTGTGTTTTTGCTTTAAAACTTTTAGCAAGAATAGATCGCAGCGCTGCAGAGCGACTGCTCACCACGCCGAGCAAAACTGTCCTAAAATGATTTCGTTTTCGCGTGCCACAGCTTGTTTTCTGCAGGCTACGGTGCGGTGCGAAATGTCAGCCATCTTAGCACCCTGGAACCCCCTGGGTGGCATAGGGATGGAAGGGGCTTTGGGGTAGTGTTGGGCGTTGATTGAATTTCACAAATTCGCACGTTAAGTTGATGGGAACATGCCATCGCGTCCGACACCCCGTGAGCAGTCGTTTGCGGACTTGCGATTGTTCGTTTTGCATTCTAAAGTCCTTATTTTCTCTTTCCTTTCTTTTCTCTCTTGCACAACGAGTGTTTGTTGAATTGCTTATAAAGATGCCCTCTTCATGAGAAGTTGGGACTTGTCCGCCGCTTGCTTCGAACTAATCAATTTGCTTTTTTTATAGGTCCTACGGGACCTGAGCGAGGTTGCAAATAGGCTAACCCTTTGCGGACGGATAACGTAAAGGTGCCTCATGACTTAGGCAATCCCAGCTAAGTCCGAGACATTGGTGTAAGGGTGCTTTACGACTTAGGCAAATCCAGTTAAGACCATGACTTTGCCGCAAGGGTGCCTCATGATTTAGGCAATTCCAGCTAAGTCTGTGACAGTACACTCTCTTAAAAGATTTAAAATTTTAATTAGTAAAAGAACATATCTTTTTAATACTTGGATGGTACTTTTTGACACTTCTTTGTAGAACTTTGTTTTACTTGACGATAATCTTTTAAATTTTAATTGTAGATATGATCTATATGTAATTAGTTAGACTATCATATGTTGTAAAGCATCAGATTATCATTAATGAATTTGTATAATGACCATCCCTTATTATAATTTCCTACTATTCTTTCTGAATGCTTTGATTTGCCATGCTAATTAAAATGATCTCTTTCATGTTGATGTTAGTTAATTGTATATTATTTTATATTATAATATGTAAATTTATGATTTAACACTATCATAGTTTTCAAGCTTTTCATATATAATTTTATATATCTGCAATATTTTTAGTGTGTTATTAGTTTCTGTCTCATATCCTATTCTTTTGATTGACTTTTTTCTTTATTTATAGTGAATGTAACTACATACTCTGAAACTGGAACAATTATCAAGATTTTCATATATTTTATTTGTATTAGTAATAGTTATCATATCCTTTTTTTTTTTTTTCAGGTTTTGACTTGTCTATGTATCTATACGTTGTCCTATCGAAATCACATGTATCCGTGCATCAGTTTTTTAAATAATCTTGTACCATCTTCATGTCCTGTTGACTTTTGTGATTAAACTATTTATGATTAAAAAATAGCTGGTATTTTTGCAAACAGTGCAGGGCTATCGCATCCTATGGACAGGTGTGGGAGCACAACTTGCTCGTGATGTTCCATTTTCTGCTATATGTTGGTCAACTCTTGAGCCGGTAATTTTCTTTCTACATCACAAATTGATGCTGCATTTTTTGTAGGTCCTTGTAGATTCAAATGTTTAACTTTTTCGTAATTGTCTATCTTTTCATGTACTTGTGTTAGATAATTGATTTACCCTATCTTACAGATTCGCCGAAGATTACTGTCGCTGTTTGGTGAGGAAGGCAATGCAGCCAGTGTACTAGGGGCAAACTTCTCAGCTGGTTTTGTTGCAGGAAGCATTGCTGCTGCGGCCACATGTCCTCTTGATGTTGCAAAAACACGGAGACAAATTGAGGTTCGGTATTGGAATTCCTATACTTATTTCTCTTTTCCTCTCACTTCAGTAGAACTAGGTTAAGTTCCTTTTAATGTATGATCTCATGACTATTTTTGTTTGATCATTTTGAAATAGGATATTCTTCCTCTTACACCGATGGACAAACTTAACTAATTAGACTAAAAGCCTTTCTCAAGATTTATTCTTAACCATTTTTATCTGGATGTTCATTCCAGAAGGACCCATCAAGAGCACTAAATATGACCACAAGACAGACACTGGTAGAGGTTTGGAGGTATGTCTCTCATTCTTGTAAAGATTAGTTTCATTAAATAGTGCCACATGGTGATGTAGATGATGCATATTGAAGACCATCATGGAAGGTCCTCTTTTGCATCCATGGCAAAATTGCTAGTCGTGAGATTTCTATAATCCTTGAGTCCTTCAAAACTTTTGCATCCGCTGAGAAAGTGACCACTTTTATGTTTAGTGACATGGGATGACTGGCTTGCATGTGCACTTTACATGTACATGGGATGACTGGCTTCTCTCAAATTATGACATTCTTTAAAAAAAATTGCAGGACTGGAGGTATCAAAGGTCTCTTTACAGGCGTAGGTCCTCGAGTTGGACGAGCGGGCCCTTCTGTTGGAATTGTTGTTTCCTTTTATGAAGTTGTGAAGTACATTCTACATCAAAGGCACAACAGTTCATGAAAAAGCAATGTTGTCAGACATGGAAGACCACCTCTCTGTATCTAATCTTGGATGGTGCTTCTACACTGTCGGCACACGAAGCAATGAAGGCTTAATGCAGTTGGAAGTGTTGGAAGTCAGTCATTTTGTTTCAGCATTCAAAGTGGGGCTGCAATGATGGTTGCTTTTGGCCTTACATAGATAGATAGGTTTAGAAGGAATATCAACCACAATATCAAATAATTGCCATTGGATCGTGCTTTTGCTTTCATCAAGTGTTCATCCAATTTTGTCACAAAAATATAATCGCTGTCCGGTTATCTGGCACGGAACACAACCGTTGGAGGTTGCACACCAAGCGGCAAATACTTTTTATCTTTTCAGATTTATTTTTGTGCATCAGTCTCATTTACTATACTGAAACACTTGTGTGAAAATTTTGACTGGTTGGTCATCGCAGCACAAACAATTATTGTTGTACCGATGGATTGTAAGACTACTACACTGATCCAAGACATCAATTGGTTTGGTCATCCCAGCCCAAACAATTATTGTTGTACTGATGGATTGTAATACTGCTACACTGATCTAAAACATCAATTGATCGGCTAATAACCTACCAATTTCTAGCTGCTTTGTTTATGGTAGTGAACTGTCCAGATTGAAATGCACCGTTTAGCAAATCATTGTTTTACAAGCCCCAGTGAATTTTGACTGGAACTGAAACTTGCAGATGTCATTTACTGAGGTGTTATGTTCTTGGTGTTTGATTATTACTTTGAATGCACTGCATCGGTGGCATCAGCTGTGCCACTTCTCCATTTGCCAGATTGTAAATTACTAGCTCGAGAATTAATGACAGATTTCCTCCAAGAGAACTTTTTATCTTCTACAAAGTAGACTTGCTGCTATATCTCTTCCATTCTGCTTTAATGTGGACCATGTAATATCTCTCTTCCATTGGCTTGATATTTGGTTCCCGAGGATTTGTAGAAGGTAATGTTATTTATCTTAATTTTTAAAAGCATAATGCAAATCAAATCCAATAGCATAATGCAAATCAAATCCAAAATCTATTTACACAGTGAGATCAAAAACAGAGAAAAGATGAAGTAGCATCGGACACATCAGAAAAGGCCAAAATACCATGGAATACAAGTAGGAGCAGAAAGCACATCAGAGAAGAAACAAAGCATGATGGGACACATCAGAAAAGGGAAGGCAGCGAAAGCAGAATCCACATTGAATTTTCTAGCCCGTTCTTGAGATTCATATGAATATATTCTAATTTATTTAGCAGCTTTTCAGAATAAAATGATGTACCAAAGAGGTAAGAGAAAGTCTGTAGATCATACATCATTTTGCTTTGGGTAAGAACAAGATTATAGGATTTGATGTATCTTCTTCATCTGAAAAATGAAATGCCAACAGACTCACCATATCAGACCTTTACATTTCCCACGAAAAAAAAAAAAAAAAATGAGGTGCTGCTTTCTGTAGATATTTCTACAACAAGAGACTGTCATCAGTAAACATGATTCTTAATCAGAACTCGAATATTGTCTACAATGTCATCCACGTAGTAGAACATCAAAACTGTTCCATTAGATACAGCACAATGGGTTTTCTATATCCCGTTTTCATCTAACCTTATATTCTGTAAGAAAGAATCACTAGCAGTTAATTATAGTACACAATGTACAAAATTCTCAGAAAACACACAATCTTATACACCCTCATTCCCACTCAAAAGAGCAAGGAATGTGCCTCTCCCAGCATAAGCAATAACCTACTATCGACAGCCAGCCTTACAGAGCATTCGAACTTTGGAATACTCTAATGGCGGCCACTTTGTGTCCATCAATCAATTGATTGTGCCTGTCATCCACAATTATAATTATAATTATATATATATAATCAAAAGTATATCATCTGATTCATCTAATAATCTTGATCTTGAATTATCCGCTTAGGAGGAAACTTATAGTGGAAAGAAAAATTACCGAGGATCCAACTCCGGGCTTGGTTGATGATGACAGTTGCAATCTCCTGGTCATGCAACAAATTGTCTACTAAAACCAAAACATTTTGGGTAAAAGCTCATAACTGTGGAAGTTCTTTAAGGGTAATTAGTACCTAAATCTCAGGAGCACTGGGTCCGCACAGCTTAGAATTTATTTCTCATCTGAAGCTTTGGTACCTGATCTCAGTTTTGAGATTGGCGCCAGGTGAGGAAACCACACATAATTTGTCATATAAGCATCACCAATGTTTTGAGACTGCCAGCTCATTGCTACCTGCAACTTTTCTTAAACCAGCTGCAACACTTTTATTCTTCCTGTGGAATTTGCAGCAATAACCATATCTGACTTCCCTCTCCAACAGACACTTGAGACAAACTGTCCATCATCATCGCTCGTCTCTTGTCCCGTATTTGGATCAATGGATCCAAACTTGTGAGAAGTCATTGGCATGGGAAATGTCTTATAGTAAGCATAAACCTGGAGGAAATTACAGAAAAGAAATTAGACAGCCAATTAGTAGAGTGTCTTATAGTAAGCAGAAGCCTGAACAACATTACAGACAGGACATTGGACAGCCAACTAGTAAAGAAAGAGAAGCACATAATATGTGATCAGGACGAATCAACGTAGAAACATATTCTTCTCCAAATTTTGCTGTGTTCTTGCGATCTACACCAACTGGCTGTTTGGTTTGCATTAAGTGAAAAGTCAAAAGTATTTTCACAGTTTGATTTACTTAAGGTGAAAGACTTAAGAAGTATATTCCCTCTATTCCGCCAATTTCCCCAAAAAAGACATCACCCTAAGAGGCCAAAGTCAAAATCAAGGAACTAACAAGTGTTGCCAGTTAAAAAATAATTTTACCTTTATGTTTCTTTTATATAACACCAAATAGATCCATGTTGCTGATCCCAATTAGTTGGGACTTACGATTTTGTTATTGTTGTTGTTATATGTTTCCTTTACACCTATAATTACTAATGAGAGGTAATGTTGCCCTCCACTTCCAGGGAGGAAAATAATCCAATTACTTCCGGTTAAACAATCAGCAGAAGTTTTGATAAGAAAGAAGTGGAGGAAGTGCATCAAAAGAAAGTGAAGCCATATAAACAGAGGAAGTAAAAAAACTTGAGTTCGGCATAAGTGACTTCCATCTAAATTAACAAATGTACAAGATTCAGGAACCGAGAGCCTACTTTTAAGAAGTCTCTGCCTTTAGGTACAAATTTAAATTCCCTAACATCAAACAGCTCCTATAATGGCTAATTGAGAGGGGCACCAGGGTCAGCAAATTTGGTGCTTTAGTTGATAGTTCTTGCTAGGCTCTCTCACTCGAGATTCATCCTCCAGTTGGAATATCCATAAATAGGAGATAAGTGAATACAAAATCACATGTACAACTTCATATACAGTAGTTCATGAACTTCATATACAGTAGTTCATGTATAGCTGGACAACTATTTGTGAAACCCTAATAACACATTTAAATCATACCTGTAATAAGTATATATTACAACATGTCAAATAAAAGCATGTCCAATATGCTGAACCAGAAAAAACAAGCTATCATAAGCAAATAACCTTTTTGTGATGCACAAAAATCATAATTAAGTAATCACCACATTTGAATGTGGGAATGGGATAATGAACTTGCAACAGTTAAACCAAAACCCTTTTCCACGATGCACAAAGCCTAGAGTTTTGTAACTTCATATTTCTGAAATAAAAAATTATATATTCTCTCTTCTTGCTTAATAATATAGAACAATAAGGGGAAATTTTTCATAAGAAAAATGCAACCAAAATGCAACTTACTTCATTTGTCTCTGAACCACACACTATATACCCGTCACAAACAGACAAGCCAACAAAGTTCTGCAGAGAACATGATAAATATCAAATTGCAACTATGATCGTCATTGGTACATAGTGTTTTAGGCAGTTAAAGATGGAAATAATGATGAAGCATACCTTCTCATTTGTATGACCACTTAAAGTTAGGCTGCAAGCATTGGTGGATAAGCCACTTGGGTTTGTTCTCTTGAGATCCCAAAGCTTAAGGGTGTTGTCGGTCGATGCCGAAACAATTGTTTCCGAGTCTAAGAATTTCACGTAGCTGATGGCCTTTCCATGTCCGGACAGAGTACACCAGGGAATTCTAGTGTTCCTTAGATCATAACAGTAAATTTTGTAATCGGCAGAGCCAAAAGCCAAGAGATGAGACGAGTGTGAAAGCTGGACACAACACACATTGGCCACATTCCTGATAGTGTCAAGAGAACCTTTCTGCCATATACAAATATAACATCAGTCGCTGCTAGAGTAAAACAAACACACAACACATTTTTGTAATTATCACATATTATGTGCTTACAGATATCTGTTTCTATACTTGATATTTTCAGTTAAGTTTTCAGATGCCTAATGCTTGGGTTCAGACATTTATTCAGAAAGCTTACTTCATTGATACTCCATATTTTCACAGTACAGTCATCACTTCCACTGGCCAACATAGTTGGATCCAAAACCGAGAAATTGACAGACCATGCTCGTCTTTTATGCTCAGCAAACTTTGTGAATCCTTGCCCGGTGCTTGCATCCCACAACTGCATGTAATGCCACAATCAAATCACATAACCTTTGAAGAAAACTTAGAAAGGATTGCAAGTATAGTTTGACAGAAAGGAAATTCCATGATAATAGAAGTAGAGGATACAAACAAAGAACAAGAAACAGAGTGAGTACTTGTCTGTCTACAGGACCAAAAATGCTGTGAGTATCAATAATTTCATGCATGCAAATAGCTTGGAATTTTCAAGGACAAGTTTATTCATCAATAACCTACCTTAGTAACAAACAAAGAATTTTTCTGCCAAAAAACAAAGCATTTTAAGGTTTTCTAAATGATGATAGCTTAATTTTGATCTGCAAAAATTGTGTGTTGACAAGGACAAGAACGTATAAACTGAGACTCAACATATAGAGTTTCAGCAAATTTTCGTGCATAAATTATAAAATGTAGGGTCTTAGAATTGTTATAGGCTGAATGGATTAAAAGTTCAAATGCCAAACCAGACTGGTTCAGTAAAAAGGGTTGCTCAGTGCATAAGGCTCTTGCCAATCCAATGGTCCAGGCACTAAACTAAAAAACATGAGGGTCTAAGTTCCATAAAGTTTTAGGGTTTCGAACAAACATGAGAAGGGGGGTGACCAGATAATATGAGGGGATGCAGAAGGGACTTTGTCGAAGCATAAGAAATAATATATACTGATTAATCATCACTTTTCCTTCTTTTTTGCTATCAGAACCTTATGGCAGTTAAATCCTCACTCTACAAGATCCTTAATATTATGAAAGCAGTAAATTGTAAAACCTGTTTCGTAAAGTACAATTTAAGTGCACAGTCATGGAGCAGAACTCTGGCTAAACAAGTAAAGACTTCATGGAAGGGCACAAATGATACGTAACAGCCCTGATAGAATTGATGCTTAATCAAACCACTAGAATTTTTGCATTGTTGACTAATAAACCATTTTTTTCTTTGATACTAAATTAAGTCCAACATTGCATACTTAGAGAAAACCATTAAAAACAGATCATGAAC